CTCCAGCAAGACAAAGACCCAAAGCACACATCCAAAAGCACGCAGGAATGGTTGAAAAGGAAAAAATTGACTGTTTTAAAATGGCCAGCAATGAGTCCTGATTTAATCCAATTGAAAATCTTTGGTATGAGCTAAAATCTGCCATTGGGGAAAAGAAACCTGCAAACATTCAAGAGACATTCAACAATTTGCAAATAAAGAGTTGGAGAAAATACCAGCTGAGAAGTGCAAGAAGTTTATAGATGGCTACAAGAAACATTTGGAGGCTGTCATCACTGCCAACGGGTGTGCAATCAAATATTAAAGAGGGGTGCCATTATTGCTGCACATGCTGTTTTTTCTGTTTCTTCTTTGAAATTACAATATGTAAGTTGAAAAAACAATTTTCTTTGTTAAATTACGTTGGACCTCCAATTAAAAGATCCTGATGATATAAATTTGGTACATTTATATATATTTCTGAAGTTATTGTAGAGGTTATGCAAAAAATTAAGGGGTGCCAATAATGGTGAACAGGACTGTATATACTTCATATATAAATGTTTTCACTTTGTTTTCAACACCTCAGAGAATAATTGATTATTTCAGGTATTTATACCATATTTTCTGTTAATTGTGTATGCGATTGTGTGTGTATTCATGCAGGTATGCCAGTCTATATTTCTGTTGTGCAATTGAAGAGCAGGACAATGAGCTGATCACACTGGAAGTCATCCACCGCTTCGTAGAGCTGCTGGATAAGTACTTTGGCAGTGTAAGTCTCTCTGTTGTTGATTTCACACCACTAAACTTAAGGTTTCAGAGTGAAGTGAGCATGTAAAAACTTCCCCTGCTGTAGAAAGCACTGACTTGTGTTTGTTTGTGCAGGTGTGTGAGCTGGACATCATCTTTAACTTTGAGAAGGCCTACTTCATTCTAGATGAGTTCCTGATGGGAGGAGAGATTCAGGACACGTCTAAGAAGAGCGTTCTCAAAGCCATTGAACAAGCAGACCTGCTGCAGGAGGTAACCTGGGCTTCACCCACTACCTCCACCAAGGAGGGTTGGGTTTTCTGTCCAGTAAAAAGTTCTGCCATGGGCTTTTGGGAGACACCTGCTTTTGCAGACTCTGGATAAAACCTTTGTCCTGCTGGTGATTATCAAACTGACAGTGCCAGCGAGGTCTGTCTCTTTTCAAAAACTTCAACAAACCATTATTAATTGTTCAAACTAACACAAATGCAACCAGCATTAGGCTATCCAAAAGTATACTGTGCCTGCACTTACACTTTAATTAGCTCACCATTCATTTCTTTGAGAAATGTTTCACTGAAAGTCTACTGATGTTACCGAAGTCGTCCAGTAAAATGCACTGCCCTGCCAGCTAATATTTACTGCAGATGTGAACTACTGTTTAAGACAAATACCAAGTAGAAACTTTCCTGGGGCCCAGAAACCATTTTAGGATTTTAGGAACCTGCATAAATTTAGCACCATTGCACCTGTGCCTCAAAAACTGTGCCTTTGTAGTATTTTATTCTTAGGCCTAAGAATTAAAGTTAGTGTAACTGATTGTAATGTTACTGACACAGCTTTATTCCCAAGTATCATCATTACATGTAGCATGTAGACATTTCTTGTAATTTTAGTGACAGATAGTCAGGGTTCCCACACTTCCTGGAAAATCTGGAAATTTAGAGACTAGTTTCGTGGTCATGTAAACGGCTGGGAAATTATTAAATTTACCAAATATCCTGGAATTTGTTGTATTTTAGCCCCTCACTCAGATCGCCTTTATAAACTTGCATATTTTGTTTGAAACTGAACTGTTGGTAGGATAAAAAGTATGACACTTCAAACTTCAAGTTTACCAGATGCAAAGTGGAACTCACTTTCTATGATAAAAACTTAAATTGTGATTGTTTTGATATTACAATGTGATTCATGATTAATTGGAATGATCATTTTTACTGTAAAAAAAACAAAAACTTTTAAAAACCAAAGAAACATGTTTTCTTACATCTGGAGAACAAGATTTGTTGAAGAGGGCATCTTTACAGCTCTACAGCACTTCGTTATAATGCTGTTTTTTACCTTTATCAAAGAACTGCAGCTTCTGCAATTTAGATATCGTCATATTGCGGTTTTGATAAAATGCCAATTAATTGTACAGCCCTAGTTACGATACTGTACTAAATCAGAAATAAGTAACCATCAAACATTTGGCAACTTTTTATTGCATCCATTCAAACAACAGAGTCACAGTACAGTAAATACAAAGAACAATGTGTTCTTTTCTCGTGTGAAAATTGCATCTCAAACATCTGACTGTAGTTACTCAGTGTACCTCTGAGAGCTGGCTGCTCCATTACATTTTGATGTGTATATTTGTTTTTGTTTTTTTACTGTTTTTTTTTTTTTAGGTGTCACTGACTTCTTTATTCTAACCATCTCTGTGTTTCCTTTTACAGGAGGACGAGTCACCCAGGAGTGTTTTGGAAGAGATGGGCTTGGCGTAGTACACAGCAGTGCTATGAGAGACTATAGATACCAAGGCAGAGGGCTGGACGTGAGGGGGGCGGGACAGAATCTGGGACTGACTGTGGCTCAGACTGGCAGCATTGGTTCTGTGTGTCTGTGGCTCTGGGGATGTACAGTGTTTAACTGGGGGAAAGACATTCAGTTAAAAATGGAAGATCCTTGCATTGGCCCTTTAGCTTTGTGTGTGTGTGTGTGTGTGTGTGTGTTCTGAGCATAGGGTATAGAAAATGGGATACCTTTTTAAACTTGTGTGTGTCTGCAGGGGGGTTGTGTGTTGAGATTTTTAAAGGGGGGAGTCTAGCTTTGCTTATCAGAGTGGATACTGGCGTTAGAATCAAAGTGAGTCAGCCTGGCAGTTTGACGCTAGAGTTGGTCGTGAAGGTTTGTCAGGTACTAAATGTGGACAGAGACTTGGTCAGATATTTGGGTATATTTTAAAAAAATCCCTGATATTTTTCTGTATTTTTTGTATTTTCAACAATTCTCATGAAAAGACAAAAACTAATCATGTGTTAGTCCATCTCTCAAAGTTTGTGATTTCCCTGCCTTCCTTCCTTCATAAATATTTTGAAATAGCTCACAATTATATAGGTTAATTTTTTTTTTAAAATGCCTCAGTTATTTCCTAAAACAGCTGCACATGAGATTTGATGACAGTCAGAAAAATATAGAATACCACCAGACCTTTTAAATTCTGTGTTCTCTTTTTTCGTAGCATTAGCCATTATTCCTATTGGTTATGTATGTGATTATAACAAGGAAAAATGAACATACTACCTAAAATATGGTCCACTTTCACCAAAAGCCCTGACATAGTTGATGTGTGGCTACTGCCATAAAGCATTACATGTCCCAGCCCAGAGCCAATAGTTACATAGTGTGAAACAATTGTAGTGGGTAGTTAAGTAAAACATTATCCTAACCAATAGGACTGAGGGCCATAAATACGGTATAAGAAAACAGGATTTTGCTTTGTTTTTAGGCCTCCACTCTCTAGATGTTCCACTTAAACTACATCTACATAAATATCTCTGTCAGTCTATTATTACAGTTATTTGAATTACATTTGATGATTTAAGAATTTTTGTTGAGGCACAGTTGTGCTGTTTGGAATTCATCCCTAGCCCATCTTACCTAACACAATGGGCACTGGAGTTGGAACTTGACATTCTTCTGCCTTGGAGTTTCAAGGCATTTAGAATAAACTGAATTTTAGACAAGTATATCCTATGGCCCCATACATGTTTTATCAATTATTTTTTGATGTGTGGTTGTTACTGATGTTAGTGATCCAATTTGATGTAAAATGCCATCTTAGGCTGCTAGAGTATTGGAAGTCAGTAAAGGTAAAGAGCAGGGTCACTTAATGCATTTCCTGTAAGTGATGCTTGCATTGGTCACTTTGGTTACAGTGTCATTTCATTTAAACAAAGTGCATTTTTTAAACAGTAACTGACTGCAACTAGTTTTGAATGTATTCTTTAGGGACGCAGCGGTTTACCAGGGTCATGGTGGGTCCATACCTCAGGTTTGGTCAGGGTTTTGTTTGGGTCTAGATCAACATACAATATTAACATGGTTTCCTTACTATATCCTGATAGTAATACACAAGACAGATGTCAGTCTGTTCCTGGTTCCCCTTGCTCCTCCTAGTGTTCCCAATGGCATTTCCAGGAATCCATCGGGCCTGAACCGAACCAAAACAACCAATCAGAGCCAATGAAGATCTCATTCCCAGCATCAATATTTGATCAACTATCTTTCTCGGCTCTGATTGGTTGTTTTGCTCCAGGCCCGGTGGATTCTTGCAAATACCATTAAGAACACTACGATGCGCAAAAGGAACCTGATCATCTGTCCCATGTACTACTATGAGGATATAGGAAAAGTTTCTGCAAATATAACTAAAAGTTATCTCCTGCAGCTTTAATGAAGTGGAAAGTTGTTTTCTGTCTCAACTTCCAGATCAGCTTGTAATAAGACAAATAATTTAGTGTCAGTGAATGGGCAAGTTTCTGGCAAACGTATGTGTGGTTCTACAAATGCACAAACATTGTATGTTTATACTCACATTGGGTTAGGGTTTTTTAATTAAAGGTCCAGTGTGTAACATAACAGGTTGATCTTTTGGCCAAAATGGAAAATAATATTCATAGGTATGTTTTCATTAGTGTATAATCACCTGAAAATGTTTTTGTTACCTTAGAATTAGACGTTTTTATCTATATTACCTTAGAATTAGACGTTTTTATCTATTTGAGTAGGCCCTGTTCTAAGGAGGCTACCATGTTGAATCGCCATGTTTCCACAGTAGCCCAAGACAGACGAACCGCTCACTGACTCTAGATAGATCCTATATGTTTGGAGGGTGAACTATTGTTTTGGTATGAAAAAAGGGTACCTGGGAGATTCCAACTCCTGAAATGGATGTGGTGTGATCAGCTACATACCACTCGTTAGTTTTGCTAAAAAAAAAATATATATATATAAATTGCAACATGTTCTGGAACTAGATCCAAAACAGAAGAAACAATCACAACCCAACTTTACTCACACGTGTACTAGACTGAGCCGATAATACATAGTGAATATGTAAACACCTCTGGTATAGTGTAACATTAGTGTGTATACTGCTGTGTTCTTACGTTATTCATAAAAGGCTGTGGGCTGGGATGAGTATACTAGAATTCAGGGTATGTATAAAAGCTCTTAATTAATTTCCACTGTCTTTAAATTAGTATGTCTGTAATTATAGTTTTCATAAAAGTCTAGCTGATTATTTGTTACGATGTGATCATGCAGTAGGATTTTCTATGAACTGCCCATAGACTTGATTCGAACTAGGCTATGTCTACAAAATCTTTGACTTGACATCACTATTGACAGTGTGGGGTATCAGGGCTTTCATAAAACTCTTTCATCTAAAATAGGACCGGGTCATATGGTATCTTAGGAAGATTGTATGAATTGCTCATTTCACGCAGCTGAACAGATATTTTTGGAAAGTTGTTTCTTTTAAGCAATCTCACAATATTACTTCCAGATCTTAATCTTGATTCAGTCGCTGATTGGGTTTTTGTTACATTTTCAATCCATGGAAAAGCATCTTTGTATTGCCTCATATTTTATGTATGTTTTTCATTATAACGGGTTATCATTTGCATAATGTCCTCTGAGGAGTTCTGGACAAACACTAATTTCTAATAGGAAAATAATATTCTTTTTTTTCTTCTCTCATCACATTCCTTTCTTACACAACCTTTCTAATCTATGAAATACATGGGTGTGGTTGTTGGAAATTGATGGATGGTAGTAGATGTGGGCAAGGTAAAGATTCAAAGTTGGACATTAGTGTCTACAGAAGAGGTGTCGTTTTAGCTAGACTGTTTTTCTTTAATTCTGGGCCTTGCTGACATGAGATTATGCTTAAAACTTTTACACTGTGTGATCAGCTAGTTTCATGGGTTCTTTCAAACTGACCATCTGTTTTGGCGAGTTTCAACCATTCTGATCAATAAACCTTAACTGTCCAGTCGAGAAAAAAAACAAAACATTTTTTCCATAAAAAAAAAAATAATTTCAATGAAGAAATACTTTTCAGTTCTGATGCTAGCAGCAACTACTAACCTCTTTAGCAGCCACCGTTGTTTAACAAGCAGTGACTTCTTGCCGCGTCACACTTAGCGCCCACCCCATAGCTGCCAATACTTCCTCAAAGGATGCTGATTGGTCCAGAACCACTGTTGTTTGGTCACAAACACATAGATTGAAGCCTGATAAGATGGTCAGTGCATGAGCTAGTTCATGTCACTCACTCGACGTGACATATGGAGACCCAAGAGGCAGCAGCCAGAAAAAACAAGTAAAAGAGAAAAAAGGTGAGCCTGGTCGGAGTTAGGCATCCAAGCAAAGACGGATGGGGTTTGGGTCAGCTGCTGGTCAAGGGAATAAGAGTCTGCGTCACGAAGAGAAAGAAAGACAACACAGTGGAGCAAGAAGGATCCAGGCATTCTGTCACCCAGGCACTGTAGCTTGGCATCCAAGATGAGACAATTGGGGTAAGGGTGGTGGTCAGACAGATATGGTTGAGGTCAGATCCAAAGATGGAGTTACATATCTGCAAGATGCAATTCTGCCCATGACCAGTGCTTGCAATATTTCCGGATCTGACGTAAGGTCAGCTTTAGACCCTGAACAAATCACAACAAAATGTTTTGCAGAGAAACTAACAGACTAGCATCTGATCAGTCTTCTGTCTGCTTGACTATTTTTTGTTTTAAAATCTGTAAAATGCTAAAGTGCTAATGGTTTGCTCCTGACAAACCATTAGAGACAATGTACCCATCAGCCAAGTTCTTCCTCAGTTCTGTCAGAAATGAATGGAATGTAACCTGCTGATCATGACCATGATCACCTAACCCTAAGAAAAGGTAGAGGTCATTGTCAGGAACAGGCTGCAGGACATTCAGTCTGAAGCTGTCTAAAGAAGGGCCAAATGGCACTGCCGATCTGTTGTCTGTACACAGCAATGACTAATCCTTTGTTTTACCTTGCTGAACTCTGAATGTTAGTTCATGTTCTAAGAGTAAGGGCTCACTGTGTGATCTGATTGTTTTCTACATTGTTAGAGATAGATTGATGTACTGTATCAGCATGCATTGGAGCAAATGAAAAAAAATGGGAAAGAGAGGCTGATAATATGTATGATCTGCTGACAACTGCTGCAAAAAAAATGGCATCAGATTGCTGCTCATGCATGCGCTGTATGTGGAACAGTGTTAGGGACAAATTATTTGAGTTCTGAGATTACATTCGATATCTTTTATGTCTTATCCCTCAGACTTCTAGCAAAAAAAATATTTTGATTCGAATCTCAGAGGTTGAATATATTTTGTTCCTGTGGCCCCAAAAGCCTAATATGCTTTCAACAAACTAATTCTTACTAAATGTCCAACCATTTCTAAAAGCAAACTGTTTTTTTAGCTGGAAGGCAGGGTGAAAAGCTTGTTGTCATTGCAAAATTCCACTGGGCATGGCTTTATGATGTGGTGTCTGCAGTGTGGTTTGGCTATGTCAACCTCAAGTCTTCAAATCCCACCAAGAGTGCTTAAGAAGTGGAGCGTCATCAGAGCATCTTGTCTGCCCAGCAGTCTTGACCTCTGTCTGATTGACTTCTGGCCTTGTGCCACAGGTTGTGATGTAATGTTGAATTTGATCCGTTTTTTTTTTTATTTTTTTTTAATTGCCCTCCTTGCTGCATCCCCCAATCCAAGAAGTTAGCTTCTATTGCATACTGCTATTGGAAGTCATGATTCAATAACTCTTTGAAGGCATTTGTGGTGTTGTGCACACATAAAATGCAAAAGGTAACGTTCAAACCCTGCCTTCTTACAGTTACAATAATTGTATAGAGACCCCTGATTTTGCTTTCAGAAAATGGGATCCAGATGTTCTCACAAGCACCTTGTTTGAAGCATACTGAGGCCTTGATCCTCCTCACAATCCTCTGTACATTCGAGCATGCACCCACTTGAAGATATTTAGTGGACTCTTGCAGCCAAAGCTATTTTGCTTCTGATGGTTTTAACCCTCTGCTGCCACTTTTCTCTTCAAAGGGATATTATTTTAATAGTGTGTCAAATGATATTTTTCTTCTCCACTTGGTGAGATTTTATTTAATACCTACTTTGAACTTCAATCAGCTCATCATATGAAATGTCTTATCAATTTGGTGAATGTCTTGTCCATAAATTAATCTATGTGAAAAGAGAATTAAGTTTTTGATTTTAAATATTTTGTTGTAAGTCATTTGGTTCCTTCAAAAAGAAGAGAGGATGAGACCATGCATGGTTGAAAGAGCTGTAAAGGGGCTCTAGTGTCTGAAAGCAGAATCTCCATTAATCTGTGTAATGTTATACAGCAAAGGCTAAAGGGCCTCAATGAATTTTGTAAAGTAATAAAGCATTTTATGCGGAATTGAAAGGTGTGTTCCTGATGTTTTGTATCTGTGCTTGTCTAAAAGTCGGACTACTCTTCCTACAAGAAAAACTGCAGTATGTGCAACAAATCAGAAGGAATTTCACAGACAAATACAGCGCTTGGAAAAAACGGATATTCCAAGCATAATTACAACGTATGTTCCAGAACTCTAAATAATGCTTGGTAAATCTTTTTGTACAGAAATGAATGGGTGCTTCATACAAATGTATGTTGACTTGTGGGACAACTTCCTTGGAAATTCATTTCCACTTTCCCACCAACACTCAATACTGGTTTAACACTGATTTTTCAAGTTTATCCAAGTTTTTGTGCCTAAATTAACCACACTTTAACCATAACAGTGGCAGATAAGAGTGTTAGGGTAAACTGCTATATGAATACATTTGTGTGGCCACAAGTGTGAAGCATTGATAGGATGAGTCTAAGCCAGTTGGCGGTTCGGACCCCTACTAGGGGTCACCAAAGCTTCACAGGGAGACGTGATGTGATTTTAAGAAAAACTAGAACGGCCATACTAATGAATTGTCAAGGGAGACGAGAGTGATGTTGTGAGACTCCTGAAGTGTTGTAATGTGGGAGCACTACACATGTGCACGGTAGTATATTGTTTATTTTTACATTTTGTATTGTCACTAAACAAAGAGAAATTAAGATATTGAATTAAATGTTTTTTTTTGCATATAATGGATAAAGGTGAACCAAGATAATAAACTGTAGGAGGGATGATGGGATATGAAAGGGTTCGGGGGAGGGGGATGTGAAAACTGAGTCAAAAAGTGAGTGATAATTTGTTTAAAGTGGCTGCTGGTAGTTTGGGCCCAGTTTTGTTATATTGTTTTCATTTTATTTGGCACAACCATGCCGTCCAATCCTCCCTGACACTTTTGAGAACGTTTGTGTTTATGAATAGTCATTTGTAAATAAATCACCTTAATTATATACTTTACTTTGCAATTTCTTTGGTTGTCTTATTTTTCTTTTTTGTTCTTTTAAAAGGGTACACAACATCTATGTTGGCGAAAGGCAAATGGTCTTTTTTTTTCTTTTTTGAAATGTTCTTTTACAATACTCATTTATGCAGGAATAAGACTGAGAGGATTTAGTGGCATCTAGTG